TTTCATATATTTGTTGATTGATTGTATAGCCTCCTCTGAGAAGTGTTTGTTCAGGTCCTTTAGCCAAAGCAATTCTGAGCAATAAGAATAAGGCTGGAGTATCACACACAATACCCAATCTCAAATTATACTACAGAGCTATAGTAATAAAAACAGCATGGTATTGGCATAAAATTGGCATAAAGGATAATGAAATAGAATAGAAAGCACAGAGACAAACCCACAAAAAAATAGTCATCTCATCCTTGACAAGGTTGCCAAAGACATACATTGAAAAAAAAAGGTAGCTTTTTAAAAAAATAGTGCTAGGAAAAAAGAATATTCTTCTATAAAAGAATGACACTAGATTCCAATCTATAACAATGCACAGAAGTCTACTCAAATTGGATCAAATACCCAGGAATTAGATTGGAAACTATGCAACTGCCAAGAGAAAACGAAGGGTCAACACTTTAACATACAAGTATGGGCATTGACTTCCTCAATAAGACTCCTAATAAAAATAAAATAAAGTCAAGGATTATTATATAGGATGGCATTAAATTAAAATGCTTCCATACGTTGAAGGAGATAATTGAGAGCAAGAAGAGACAGCCCACAGAAAAATCTTTGCTAGTTATTCTTCTGACAGAGAATTAACATTCAGAATATACAAGGAACAAAAAAATTAATACCAGAAATTTTTTTAAATTAATCCAATCAACAAATAAGAAAGTGAACTAAACAGATTTTCTCAAAAAAAAGAAATGCAAATAGTCAAGAAATATATGAAAAAATGTTCAACATTCTTAGTAATCAGAGAAATTCAAATCAAAACTAAAGATTTCATCTCACTCCAGTTAAAATGGCAACCATCAAGAATAAGTGTTATGATTTGGGGAGAAAGGTATATTTACACATTGTTTCTGAGAATGCAAATTAGTACAGACACTATGCAAATTAGTATTCCTCAATAGACGAGGAACGGAATCACCTTATGACATGTTGCCTGTATTTATTCAAAAGAACTAAAATCAGCATACTATAATGATATATGCATGCCAATGTTTACAGCAGTGTGATTCATGAGAGCAAAATTATGTAACCAGCCTGGGTGTCCTTCAACAGATGAGTGGATAAAGAAAGTGTGGTACATACACACAATGGAGTTTTATATAAAAATAAAACTATGATGATTTAATAAAATTTTGTCACTTTTGTGAGTAAATGTATTAAAGCGAGGAACATTGTGCTAAGTGAAATAAGAGTCAGAAAGTCAAAGATAAAATGTTTTCTCTTATATGCAGAAGCTAGAGGGGAAAAAAAGAAAAAATGTGGAGATCTCATGAAAATAGAAGGAAGAAGAAGAAATGGAAGCAAATAGAAGATGATAGGGAGGCAGGAGAAGAGGAATGTGCAAGATACTTGGGAATGAAATCATCCAACCATGCTATTTACCTGCATCACAATGAATCCAACTTTTAGGAATAATTATAATGCACCAACACAAAAATAAACAGAAGGGAGGCCAGTCAAGAAGTGGAAGGACATCAGGTAGAGGGAGAAAGAAGAAAAGAAGCTGAGAAAATAAATGGAGCAGACTTATTGCAATAAAACTTGCAAAGAAAAAAAAAGAAATGGAGCAAACTATGTGATATGTATATACAAGTATGTCACAATGAGCTCCACCATTAGTTATAATTATGATGCACTAATGAAAACACATTAAAATTTTTAAAAGACTTAGCTCTTTTAATAACTCTAATGCTTGACATGTACCAAAATAATAGTTTACTTCCGACCTCTTCCACCCTCTCTTTCCTCCTTTTTTGGCATTGATATATGCTGCAGAAGTCTTTGAACATATCAGTCTTTTCAGCCCTGCTAATTTTTGGAATCTGATTGTCCTACCAACACACACACACACACACAAAAAAAAACTATATTAATCACTCTAATAGGAATTCCCTTCAACAAATAGAACATTATATATATATATATATATATTTATACACAGTCACATAAACATTTAAATACTATTGACCAATCATCACTTTTTCAAAGGAATAAATCCAATTGCTAAGACCTATGGGAGTCTCTCTGCTCTATGGAAACTTAACAGAAGATACCCTGGAAAAGGTAAAATATTTGGTGTATATTGATTGAGGAACTATTTATCACATGGCACTATGCTGGGCCCCAGGGACGGTAGGCAATATATAAATGTAGTCTCCATTTCCCAGAACAGTAATAATTTGATACTGGGGTAAGCCGAGCTATGATGATTGGGTGGGAGTGATCTCTCTGAAACAAGAGGCACAATTCATCACAGTCTATATATGTCATATGTCTCAGGAAATTATTTCAGGCACAGAGAATGTTCCTACAGGTTGTGATACTGGTCATTATTTAGATAACCATACTCCAGAAATTTCATACATCAGAAGGTCCCAAGTGAACAGACCGTTCTAGGTTGGACTCATTATCTGGTAACAGGGGAGGAGGTTCATAACCTCTCTACCACCTTCTTCTGGGAGATGGAATTCATGAGACAAGATCCTAGATGACACAGCAATTTACTCCTTCTGGCTTTTGGTTGGGAGTGTACATGAACTCATTTCCACTGGGGAGTCTCTCCAGGATAATTTTCCTTCCTTCTTGATCCACCAGAGCACAAAGATGGCATGCTAGGGCCTGTCTTCTATGATCATAACTGAGAAACCTGGTTCAGCAGATCCCTCTCTCTTCTCACCTTAAAGGTAAAAGAAAGTCTTTTTCTGTCTCCTAGATTTTAAAACCTGAAATTCACTGGGAAGCCCAAATATTCTGACTAAAATGTTGATAGCTGATTTTCAAGAAATGTTGTGGAGTTGAATGATGTAAATATGGATGAGTAATGTAAATTTGGGTAAAACTAAAATGTTTATAAAAGCCCTGGACTCATACAGTACTTCAAATAATCCTCCACCAGGAAGCAGATAACATTAATGAAGCAGATATTATTAATATCAAACCTATAACAGACATAAGGAAAGGAGACAAGAAAACATGTATTATGCAACTTAATAGGCTTCATACATCAAACCAAGTGTTCTAAATACTTTATCTCCTTTAATATCACCACAGCACCATTAGGTAAGTGTTATTATTCACATCTTTTAAACATGAAGAAATAGAAATTAACGTGAGATGATCGGCCCAGGGGATTATGCTATTAATAGTAGGCTGAGCATGCAGCTTGGGCTTATTTAATGCCAAATCCACTATTTCCCTTTTTCACATAAAACCAACTAGATAATTGCTGCACAGTTTCAGCCTACACTGTCTGGATTTCCAACATGAAATCAGAGACAGAGACCATCCCTCTCATTACAGTCTTGCCCACTGGGGCTGGGCTACCCAGAGAGGGAAGAAGGAAAACTACAGTGTAAATGGAGATCTCCTAGATGCACTGAGATCCATGGAGATCTCTGGGCATGATGCTGAGTGCCCTTCTCTCACTTCTGTCCTGCACATCATGCTCACAAACAACATGGAATTATAAGTTGATGACATGTTGATATAACTTTCATGCTCTTGGAATCATTGGCTCCACTATTTCATCTCTCCAAACTGTTTAAATGTGATCTGTCCCATGTGCACAATTTAAGGAAGATATTTAAAATGAGACCTTTTCCAGAGCTTTAATTATGACATAAATCAACACCATGCCATAAGAAATAGTAAAAGGAAATTAGAAAGACAGTGCAGGGCTTCAGGTTAAGAGCTCTGTAGTCCATGCAGGGTTCAATGCAGAAATGGCCACAGTGTTTAGAACACATTGAATATGTAGAAATTGCTAGCAGGAGGATTCAGTTGATGACAGGAAGGATCTGTGAAAGAATTGTGTCTTCCAACACTGATGGAAGGAAGCCAGGACACGGAAGGTGGTTTTGTTTGTTTGTTGTTGCTATTTTGGTACCTGGAATTGAACCCAAGAGTGTTTCACCACTGAGTCACATCCACAGTCATTTTTTTATACTTCATTTAGAAACTGGGTCTCACTGTGTTGCTTAGGACCTCACTAGGTTGCTAAGACTGGCTTTGAACTTGCAATCTTCCTGCCTCAGCCTCCCAAGCTGCTGGTTTTCAAGTATGAACCACCATGCATGGCCATTGATACTGTCATGGAGTCAACTATATAATAGGGAATGATGGCTATCTTTTATTAAGTTGTTAATACTATGGATGAGGCATTGTGATACACAACTGATGTTATCATCTTGTTTGCATTCACAATGCTTTGAAATAAGTATAAATATTAACTTCATTTTTTATTTTAAAATTTAAAAATCCCAAAATTCAGAGCAATTATATATGGCCTTGCATCATGGATCCTGGAGATGTAATTATTCAAAACAAATCATCTAATTTCATAGATTTCTTTGCACTGATATGGTCCCCCTACACAACTGTGGCAAAATGTGTAATATGTAAGTGACATGAGAAATAATCTAATGTATTATTGAATTTGGAAAAGGAAAGGAGATGAATGAAAGAGACACCTATCTTTACCTTGGAGAACAGAGAGCTAGTCAGATTCCAGATGTTTTAGATATTTCTGACACTAGTCCCCATGCTTGTGACACTGACTTGGGTTTATATGAATGATTTCTATTGCAACTAGTAATTCAGGATCGAGATTTTTTTTTCAAAAACACATTGAATAACAAAAAATATTAAAATTTGGCAGTTGAAACAATAGTTATTTACTTCTGCTCTCGTCCACTTTTCTTCATATTCTCTCACATAATTGGACCCAGCTATGGGTAGTTAGAAATTGAAGTGCAGATACTTCTATGGAAGGATTTCATAAGAGTGTGCAAAAACCAAGAACTAGTCCTGATCCTCCTTGTTTTCACTTCCAGCCTTGGAAATTACCTTCACAGCTCAGAGTGCAAACACATCACCAGGGTGATGATACATCATCAGTCTGATCCTTCCTTCTGTCCTGTGACCCTCAGAGAGCAAGCTGTAGCTCAATGACCTGGGGGAACCACTCGGTGATGATGCAGTTTGTGTTCCTGACCTACCCCTCCTGCCCAGAGCTGCAAGTCCTGTCCTTCCTGGGGGTCAGCATGGCTTATGCACTTATCATCACCGGGAATGTCCTCATTGTGGTGTCCATCCAGGCTGAAGCCCGCCTCCATGTGCCTATGTACTATTTCCTGGGCAGCCTCTCAGGGGTAGAAATGTGCTACACTGCTGTGGTGGTGCCCCACATCCTGGCCAACACCCTGCAGTCAGAGAAGACCATCACCCTCCTGGGCTGCGCCACTCAGATGGCCTTCTTCATTGCACTTGGCAGTGCAGACTGCTTCGTCTTGGCTGCCATGGCCTATGACAGATATGTCGCCATTTGTCACCCCTTGAAGTACCCTCTCATCATGACTCTGACTGTTTGTGTCCGCCTGGTGGTGGCATCTGTGGTCACCGGCTTGTTCCTGTCCTTACAACTGGTGGCCTTCATCTTCTCTCTGCCATTCTGCCAGGCTCGAGGTATTCAGCACTTCTTTTGTGATGTGCCACCCGTCATGCAACTGGTGTGTACCAACAGCCACTTCCATGAGCTGTCAGTGCTGGTGGGAGCCACACTGGCCATTGCCGTGCCTTTCTTCCTCATCACCACCTCCTACGCCTTCATAGCGGCCACTGTGCTCAAGATGCACTCTGCAGCTGGCCGCCACAGGGCCTTCTCCACCTGCTCCTCCCACCTCACTGTGGTGCTGCTGCAGTATGGCTGCTGTGCCTTCATGTACCTGCGCCCCCGCTCCAGCTACCACCCCCAGCAAGATCCATTCATCTCTCTCGTCTACACACTGGGCACCCCAATGCTCAACCCCCTCATCTACACACTGAGGAACAGCGAGATGAAAGGGGCCATTGGGAAAGTGCTTACCAGGAACTGTGGCTCCCTGACAGCCTAGGACAGGGGAGGGCACGGCCTATCAGACCAGGGTTCAGTTCCAGTGCATCAATATGCCTATATGGCTGGATTTCTCTCAGCTGATGTTCAAGGAAATTTTTTAAAATTCATAAAATTATATAAAAACTATTTATATAACACAAAACTAAGTGCCAGAGACCTTTAAAATATTTCTACCATTTGACTCAATAATTGCTCTTCTAGTAAAGAAATAAAGCAAATGAACATTACATCATGCAAACTAACAAGTATGAGAGGGTGCAGCTAGAAAGAGACAGCTCATTCCATGGGTTTTAACTTTTTTAAGAAATCCAAGAATGGAATTGTCTCCAGCAGTTATGGATAAGGAAACCAACAGGGACTTCCACACCAGCAATAGCAGGAAGTCATTATCACTCCTAGACCCCAAAGGCAAACTTAAGTCTCAGTGTTATCAGACACCAGTGAGAGCTGATGCATGGGGGGGAAACCAACAGGAAGAACTGTGACTTTAGCCGGGGAAAAAGCCACTATGGACAGAACTATGGCCAGGAATGGAGACAGCAGAGAGAGAAATACCACAACCTCTTTCTGCTCAAAACCTTCTCTCTCTTTCCCTGGACTCCTGGGAAAGAACATGGGTGACCCTGGCCACAGGTATCACCTGGAGGGCACAGAAAGGGCACTGGAGGGGCACAGAAAGACCTTCGTAGTTAGGGATCAACAGAGAAGAAGGAGAACAAAATTGCTTATTATGGTATTCTATGTAAGAATGAAAATATGTTAACAGTTCATCTTCATGATAAAGAAGTGATTAAATGTTACTGCATAAAGGAATATGATTCAGCCTTATATTTATTTTCAAATAATAGTTTTTAGACATAATTAAGTGCTTACTGTGTGCCAGAAATATATATACACATATGTGTGTATGTACGGATGTGTGTGGGGGGGTGTGTATATCTAAAGTATGTAACATGCATTCTTGAGGGACGTCAATAATGTTATGCCAGCTAATAATATGGTCTTAATTTTCAATACTATCATGTATTTCTGTCTATTTATGTTATTAGTTACTGGTAAAACTGGGTTAAAATCCATAACTATGATTTTTCATGTATCAGTCTCTCCCTTTGGTTTTGGTCATTTTTCTTTCCTGTGTTTTGAAGCTCTGTTATTAGATATAAACTTGCTCATCATTGATATATCTTGCTGATGAATTAACCATTTTGTCATTAAGAAGTACTCTTTTTTCTTGCTGGCTATTATCTAAGAAACAAAATTTACCAAAATTATGTTATGTACATCTACTAATATGTCACAGTGAATCCCACAATTTTGTATAATCACAATGCACCAATAAAAAAGAAAAAGATAAAAAACATATAGTTCATCCTTTTCCTTTTTACAAATCACGATGGGAATGTGTATATGCCATATTCCCATGTGCTCCTCATCCATCACTTCTGCTCTTGGCTCTTTTGATTCCTCCTTTCCAATACTTTGAATTTTTAAAGCATTGTTATGTCGGCTATTATCTTTCTGGCTCTATCTACTGTACTATATTGTGTCATATTCTTTTCACAACCTACCATGAGTTATTATAATACCAGTACAGTAAATATGAAGGAAACTCTCAAAATTATAATACCATTTTCTGCCCTTCCATATTTGTGCTGTTATCTTATTTATATTATTATTTTGTTATAAACAGTTAATAGTTTTTAACATGTTTTGAGTAGTTTTCTACATTTTTTTTAAATTTAACTGTAAGTTTATTTTTACTTTATATAAAATTCTAGGAATGCCTTTTTCTTTAATCTTTTAAAAAATGTCATTCCATCATCTCCTGGTTCCCATTGTTTCTGTTGAAAAATCACTGATATTCTTGTTTTTCCTTTGTGACTATAAAATATTTTTTGTTCATCTTTGCTTTCCAACCATATTACTATGAAACTAATTAGGGAGGAGGTTCAAGGTATTTAATTATACATCCCAATTAAATACATTCACTTTATTCCAAAATCTTAAAAAATTCATTCCTTTAGAGCATCAATCAGGGTCCAAAATCTCATCTAAATATCATCAGTCAAGTGTCCCTAATCTCATCATCTAAGCCATATAAATTAAGGCCTAGGTGACACTAGTAATATGAATTTTCCTGGGACAAAAGTCTTCTCCATCTGCAGACTTGCAAACTATAAAAGAAGATAATATGATGTTGGAGCATGCATAAGATAATGGTTACAGACCTTCCTACTCCACACACAAAAAAAAAGAGGATGGATGTTTAAAAAAAAGTTTTTAAAAAAATGCTCTGAGGCAATTTTGATCATCAAACAGGATAAGCTGCATTCATTTTCAAGACCCAAGAATAATCCAGTGTGGATCTTCTCTTCACCACCTGGACGTGAAGTTCTGCCTTCTAGACCCAAGATTTCCTCAAAAGTCCAAGAAGTCACTCTTTAGGTCCCTGGCTCCATCTCCGGGCTCATCTTTCCTTTCCCATGGAGGGTAGTAGGTTTTCATCTCAGTAGTTTTTTCAGCCTCTTCCTAATTTGTAGAATTTGGGGAGTCTGGCAACTCCATTTCATTTCTCTTTTCTCTCTCTCCCTTTCAATATAAGCTGTCATATTCTCTGCTCATATTATTTATTATTCCAGGGGATCCTCCATATAGATTTCCTGGAAAATCCTATCTCTATTCTTAGTGTCTTCTGAGGTGGTTTTGGGGATCCATGAGTTAATGCACCTAACATCTTCAAGGACCCTCTGTGAGAATTAAAAATCTGATCTGTTGATCCTTCCAAAACACTTTTATCAACAAAGATTGTTCATTTACTGGCAGCAATCAGTAGAGTAGAGGGAAAGGAGTAGGGGGTTAGGAGAAGGGAGATGTGGGAGTCTGAATTAGAACAGGACATAGTCCATATTTTTATAATTATGTCAAGATGGATTCTACTGTACATATCCTGACGTGTCTAACTAAATATATATATATAGTCAAAATAAATAAATAAATAAATATCATTTTTTTTTTAAGTTTGTCCAGCCACATCCTGGGCTTTCTCTCCAGCATACATTTTCCTGACAGTGTGTCTCCTAATTTCAGCATCTCTCACAATCTTAACAGGCTGAGAATGTCTTTTGATTCAACAGTTATTCCCAGAATTTGAAACATGGCATCCTAAGTAAAGCAGGTTAGTTGGGGACCCTGCTGTACCTCATAATGTGGCTCTTTGGCATCCCAGGTTCATGTCAGGGAGTCACATGTTATGGCCCTACTTTGTGCATCTCTGGGCTTGATTTATACTCTGTATCTCAGGATACTCTCCAAGCAAGCTATATTTTCTAGAAGAAATAAAAGTGACTTTCATGCCCTTTTATCTTACTGTATTCTAGTTTCCCATTCAAGTACATTTTTATTGGCATAGTATAACTATACAATAATAGTGGGGATCATAGTTACATATTCATACATGCACACAATAGAACAATATAATTTGGTCAATTTCATTCCCCAGTACCTCTCCTCTCCTTTCCTTTCCTTCTTCCCTCCCTTCTCCTGCTCCTCTTCCTCCAAACTACTGGTCTCTTTTCTGTTTTCACAAGATTCACATACACACACACAGAGACACAAACATACACACGCACGCACACACACACACACACACACACACACACACACACACACATTTTTCCCCCTCTCTATTTCTCTAGCTTCCACATAAGAGAAAACAGGATCCTTTGCTTTCTGAGTTAGGCTTATTTCACTTAGCTTAATGAGTCTCCTTCTCTGTATTTGTGTGACAAAAGAAATTCACACCAGGTGCAATGGTGATATCTGTAATCCCAGCAACTCCAGAGGCTGACACAGGTGGATTGCAAGTTCCAGGCCAGCCTCAGAAACTTAGTGAGACCGGCAAGCAACTTAATGAGACCTTGTCCAAAATAAAACTTTAAAAGGGGAGGGGGCAGGCAACAGGGGATGGGGCTCTGTAGTAAAGTGTCCCTAAGTTAAATCCCCAGTATCAAAAAAGAAAAAGGAAAAAAATTCACATAAACTCTCTGTGTTTGAGTTTTATTGGAAATCAAATGGAGATGATACTACACCTGTCTGATCAGGTCAATTAAACATTAAATAATGTCTCTCTCACATTAAACCCTATGAACATACAGCATTATTATTATTGCTGCTATTATAGTATGAAGAAGAAAAAGAAATGAAGAAACTTAGAAAGAAGATGCTGTGCAGGTTGGGTTATCAAAGTTTCTTCCAGGCCTTTTCTCGGCTTGTGTAAATATGTTCCCTTGGAATTTTCTGCTGAGTTCTTCAAATAGATTTTAGTTCTTACACCATGTTAAGTCTTGAGTATTTTAAGTGTAACATAAAAAGGTAAGCTTAACTGAGAGAACTCCTTTCTGTGAGACTTGCCAAAAATGTAAGCCCTTTAATATGATTTAAGGTAGGAGAATAGTATTTCAGGTTGAAACATTTTAGTAGAAATGAATAGAACAACATTAAAGGAACTATGCTTTAGGTTACCCCCAAAACACATGGAAATGATTTCTAAAATATGTACATTAAATAAAGTGTAATAGCTAAAAATATTTTAAACTATATTAAGGATATATATTGTCCATAGACATGAAGCAATGAAATCTCATGTCTGTTAGTGGAGACAGAAGCTGAGACAGCGCTGGCAAGGTGGGATGTCCATGCCAGTGACTCATCTAAGAATTGATTGTTGCCAAAAAAACAAACTATTCCCAAATTTAGTGGTTTAAAACTATAAGTATTATTCTTTCTTGTGGCTCTCTGGTTGGGCTGGACTCAGCTGACTGGGCCTTCTGTTTTCAAAGACACACAGTCGCATTCAGATGGGAATTTGGCCAGGGCTGAAATGTCCAAGATGACTTCACTTACCAGTCTTGGACATTGTCTCTCCTTTTTTGTTCCATTTTTTTTTTATTTTGTCATTCAATAATCCGGCACAAACTTCTTTATATGCCACATGGATCT